GAGTTATCTAAGCTGGCAAATAAATGATATTTTGGAAGCAGGGTATTGCTAGACTATATATTTGTGAAATATTTACTCATTGAAGCAAATTCAAATAGCAATTACATGCTGTTGAAAACAAATATAACCTGAAAGAAAGATGCTTCATTTTAATAATATTGAATGAGTTTTCTTTGCCATGGGATTGTAGATGATTTTCTTTTTTTCACAATTTCTTCAATTTTATAGTCACTGTAATTGAGAAACATAAATGTTTAAAAATTTACTAGTTTGATCCTATATCCAGTCTTTCTACAAAGATATAGCAAGTTGGCCAACGACTCTCTGAAGACAGAAACAGACACACAGTAAAACATCTTACATGAAGTAGCCACTTGATGTTATTGAATAAATAATCCACAGGAAAGGCTCTGTTACTTTTTTTCCTGTTATATTTGGACTGTACTACCCCTGAAAACTACAAATAAATGGAAATGTTTTGTGTATTTGGGGACGCTTTGATCATTATGGACAGTTAGTCTGGAAAATTAATCCCCATAAGAAATTCACATTGCCTGAATCCAGTGGTAAGTTGGTTGAGGTTCTGAATTAACCCAAAGGTTGCCAACACTTTCTCCCTCACCCACAATTTGTTCTGCACACACTGAGCTAGGTTCCCATAGTTACTGGAGACAAAGTTTTTGAAGTGAGTTCAAGATGTATAAATCTGAAAAAAGTACACTTGTGTTAGGGTTTGGAAGCTGTGCACGAACCAAGAGAGCTTTTTCTCTCTCGTAGTTCCAAATTGTATCTAAGGGAGAGTTTTCCTGACAATGAGTATTGCTTTGTTACTCCCTCCTCTGTACAACTATTGTCCTAAATGCATGCCTTTACTGTACACTTGCCAAGTCATGATACAGTACATTAAAATTGCCTGTCTTTTTTTGTCACCCCTAAAGAACCTATAAGCTCCTTGAGGCCAGACTGTGTCATCTCTATAGCTTTATGCCTGGCACAGTGCCTAGTACATAGTGTTGGGTCAGACCCAGGCATTGCTACAGCTTTTATACCTAATACAGTAATTAGAAATATTAGCAAATCGATAAATGTTAGTAGCATGAATGAGTGAACGCTAGCTAAGAGACACTGTGGAATTTACTTCCTTGGAAGGTGTAAAAAATGTTATGGGTACCAGAAGTTGTGAAGGAGAGTGGAAGTGAGGGAAGAGAAGGGAAGAAAGGGAAGAAGATGTGCCTTAGATCAGGATTCTGTGGCTTCTAGTATAGATGTCACTCTATATGCAATCCATATATTAGTTTTAAACAAAAGATGTTTCTAAGTTCTTCAAAAACTGTGACATATTTCTTTAGGAACTATCATAGACCTAACTATGCCAAGGTCAAAGATTTTCAATAAATCATTGTTTTTTTTTTTAAAGATTTTATTTATTTATTTTTTACCCCCAAAGCCCCAGTAGATAGTTGTATGTCATAGCTGCACATCCTTCCAGTTGCTGTATGTGGGACTCGGCCCCAGGATGAATGGAGAAGTGGTGCCTCGGTGCGCACCCGGGATCCGAACCTGGGCCGCCAGCATTGGAGCGCGTGCGCTTAACCACCAAGCCACGGGGCCGGCCCTCAATAAATCATTGTTAATGTACGGTTTTAGCTCTGAGCACTTAACTGGGGGGAAGTGCTAACAACCAGTGAGGCTAAGGGGACTTAAAATAGGACTTCAATTAGCTATTTAGGCAAAACTGACTTTCAAAGTCTTATTTTTATTTTAATTAGAATATTTTCACTAATGTGTTCCTAAATTATGATTGTGTTATTATTAAAAAATCAACTATTTAATTTTGGATCCTTCCTGACATGTTAGTTAGAAGTTAAATATAGTTTTATTTTCACTTTTGGAAAGCAAAAAAATCTTTGGGAGTGAAAGCTGCAATCTCTTCCAAAGATTAGCTTTTTTTTCTTTCTTTCTGTTTTATGAAGTGTTGTGTTTTCAGAGACACGTGGATGAAACATGCTAGTGCTTTGAGGTTTGCCCTTTCCTAAGTGTCAACACAATGTCTTCCTGGTCATGAGAAATTTCACTTTTCATTATTCTACACCTAAAAAGCCTCATTAAAAAATAGTAAACTCTGAGGGCCGATCTGGTGGTGTAGTGGTTAAGTTTGCATGCTCTGTTTCAGTGACCCCGGGGCAGCCTGGAGTGGCCTGGGGTTTGCAGGTTTGATCCCGTGTGCAGACCTACACACCGCTCATCAAGCCATGCTGTGGCAGCGTCCCACGTATAAAATAGACGAAGATTGCCACAGATGTTAGCTCAGGGACAATCTTCTTCAAGTAAAAAGAGAAGGACTGGCAGTGGATGTTAGCTCAGGGCCAATATTCCTCAACAACAACAACAACAAAAAATAGTAAACTCTTTAAATGAATTAATGTAGTAGAGCAATACATATTATTGAAACCTGTGAAAATAAGACTCTTGACAAAAGTCAAGGGAGCCGGGGCTACTTATACTGTGGATGATATGGCAACAGCATAGCAAAAATGATTCTTAAATAGTTTAAATTCTCTTAGATGATGGCCCCATAGTTGTCCCAAATTACTGAGGGCAGGAGGAAGGAAATGGGTGTGGTCTATATAGTGAGAATTTATAAGGAAGAGTTTTCTGATGTAGATCACACAAACTCAATGTTAGAAAGTGAATTCTAATGGTTCACTTTAAAACCCATGAGATATCAAAAGGTACATTTAAGAATCATTTATCTATCAACTCACTTATTCACTCCCTTCATTCAAAAATACATATCAAGGAACTATTAGTTATAGTGCTAAACACTGGGACACATTCCTGTACTCCAGATCTCACGGTGTAGAAAGAAAGAGAACATATAGGCAGAGCAATAGGATCCCCAGTGCTCTAGGAAAAGTGCAATAGAAACACCAGGGAAATGACTAAAACTTCAGAAAGAGAGGCTTAAGCTAAATCATAAGGCTAAGCAGGGATTTTCCAGATTGTCACAGCAGCAAAAGTCATTATCAGTAAAAGGAACATGGATTCAACAAATATTTATTGAGCTCCTACTATGTGCGAGATCTTGGGCTAGGCCCCAGTGATATTATTTTTATTTTAATTAGATTATTTTATAAAAATTGATTATTGGGGCTGGCCCGGTGGCATAGTGGTTAAGTTCATGTGCCCTGCTTCGATGGCCCGGGGTTCACAGGTTCAGATCCCGGGCGTGGTGGACCTACACACTGCTCACCAAGCCATGCTGTGGCAGCATCCCATATACAAAATAGAGGAAGATGGGCACAGATGTTAGCTCAAGGCCACTCTTCCTCAGCAAGAAGAGGAAGATTGGCAACGGATGTTAGCTCATGGACAATCTCCCTTACCAAAAAAAAATTGATTATTGATATTATATTAATTTCCAAAATGTTCTTAATATTATGATCAAATTATTACAATATCAACTATTTTGTTAAGGCCAGAGAAAATGTGTTTGGGTAATGTGGGAGCAAATAAAAGGGAAGGGCTGTCCTCTGGGCTGTCCCTTTAGGCAGCCATCCCCCTCTCCAACTCAAATTCCCTCTGGCGCAGTCTCTCCTTAGACCAGCCAGCAGCAATGGCATCTACTAATTAACTCTCTCCCGACATTTGGAGCCACCTGATAGTTCTGGGAGCAGCTGGTAGGATTATCAGAACTGTGAGCAACTCTTCAGTTCCTTTCAGACCACCTCTCACTGCATTTGCTCTTGCTGCTTCAGTGTGTTATTGTGCTATTGCACTTCTTCCACGTCAAAGGATATTTCACCGCAAAGATTCAGAAGGATTTGCTATACATTCCACCCACGGCCATTTCACGGTGTGCGCATGTGTATATTCACACAAACCCGTGTGCGTGTGTTATACCCCGGAAGTACTGGGGCAGTCGGGCTGGGCAACCAGGATTATACTGAGTCAACAGCTTATAACACACAAGTGAAATTAAAGCACAGTCCATGATCTTAGGAGATGAGCCCAAGATGGGTGGTCTTGGCCAATGAAGAGGCACCTAGAACTGCCTCTTGAGAAAGTTCTGAAATCTGTATTGCTGGGAAAAAGTGGAGAACTGGAGCTATGCATATCCTAAGAGAGAAACATGTAGGGCAATGTGATGAATACTGAAGTTCCTTTTTTGGCATCATTTTTTCTTTTTTTTTTGTGAGGAAGATCAGCCCTGTGCTAACATCTGCCAATCCTCCTCTTTTTTTGCTGAGGAAGACTGGCCCTGGGCTAATATCCATGCCCATCTTCCTCCACTTTATATGGGACGCCACCACAGCATGGCTCACCAAGCGGTGTGTCGGTGCGTGCCCGGGATCCAAACTGGCGAACCCCGGGCCGCCGCAGCAGAGCACGCACACTTAACCGCTTGTGCCACCGGGCCCGCCCCTGACATCATTTTTTACTGGCAAAACTAGACAGTCAGTGAATGTTAAGTGATTTTTACTGATGAATAAATTTATGAATGTGCATGAATATTTGGCACTTTTCTTGTCTTAGAATTTAGGCTGAGACTCTAAGGCTGAAGCTAATCTTAAGATATATGCCAGGCCATCTATGCAGGACTTGCTAAAAGTGGCTCCTAAACTGGTTCTGACTGGTTGTAGGTATGTGTGTACATACATACATAAATACACACACATGTATTTAGCCTATATATACAATGATGTGGAAGACTGTTAGCAAGCAGGGATTTTTTTTTTTGAGAGAGTGGTTGTGGGAGGTTGTGGTAGCACTGGGCATTTTCCATCCACAGGAGAACAGAATGTTCTTCTCATCCTTCACCCCAAAGACAAAGCAGAGACTGGTGGAAAAATTCTTGGGCCAGATATTTCCATGCCTTCTGGGGCTTGGCAGGCACAAGGAGAAGCGGCTGGTGGGAGCTGTCTGTGATGGCAGTGTGAAGGGAGAGAGCTGGAGAAGAAGTGGCCTGGACTTCTGGTATGGCTGGGTACTGGAACCCAGCACCTTCCTGTGGGCTGGGCCGGTGCTTGGGAAGCTTGCTTGGCTGGAATGGTCTTGAATAGACCCCCTCCCCAAGAAGATGAATTGCCAGGTCTAGGTGAACCTAACAGAAGCTATGTGATGGATCGCCCACGGAGCAGTGGGAGGTCTTCAGAAAGAGGTTCACCACAGAACCCATAAAGGCAGCTCATCAAACAACAAAGTCAGCCTTTATAGCATTCACCTCTCCAAAGCCAGGCTCTAAAAACACCAGAGCTCTTCTCTCATTGCCTTTCCCTCCTTCAGCTCTAACCCTGGTAGAGTCAGACTACTCAGGAAGGCTGACTTCCTCCAGGGTGGCTCAGCCCTGCTCACCCTCGTGTTAACATCAGTATGCAGGCGAGGGTTAATATAGCAGACCCGAGACTGCTATCCTTAGAAAGGCCTGCTTGCAAGGCTAGACTTTGGCTGGCATCTGGGAGTGTAGACTTCAGGAGTGTTCCCACTACCTTAACTAAGAGGGGCTGTCTGTGCCCAAATTGTACAAACAATGTGATTCATACTGAATATCTGCTTTTCTTCTGGGAATATGGAATTTTCATATGTGCTAGGCAGATGTCTACCTGACCAGCCCGCTAACAAAAGCCTTGGGCACTGAGTCTCTAATGAGCTTCCCTGTAGACAACATTTCACAGGTGTTGTCACAATCTGATGCTGAAGAGAATAAATGCGTCCTATGTGACTCCACTGGGAGAGGACTCTTGGAAGCTTGCGCCTGGTTTCCTCTGGACTTTGCCCCAGGCACCTCTCCCTTTGCTGATTTTGCTTTATATGTTTTCCTTGTAATAAATCGTAGCTGTGAATATGACTGTATGCTGATCCTGTTAGTCCTCCTGGTGAATTACTGAACTTGGGGGTGGTCTTGGGGATCCCTGATACAATAGGAGACAGAGAAACGTCAAATGTATTTAGAAAATAAAGTTTTAATTTAACACCCCAATATAACTGGGGCTGCTTTAAGAACTTCCTGAGGTATAGTGCACTGGGAGAGATGAGACATCCAACGAAGATGTTTTGAAAAAATCAGTGGTTGGAAAAAATTGAGTTGTTGGAAAAATTCAGTTGGCCCCGTATGTGAAGCTCTTTCAATAAACCGATTATGGATGTATGTATTTATGACAAGACTGCTTCTGGATTCTTGAGGAACATTTTTAGCTGGGAAAGCATGAGCTCCAGATTCCTCTGGTTGGAATCGATGGGCAAATCTCTCCTGAGACTCTACTAGTGCCCAACACCATCCGGTCAGAGGTGCTGGAGGATTTGTCAGAGAAATTGACACTATGGCCCTTTTTACTTCCTCAGGAAACTTGCAGTCTAGTTGAAACACTAAAATAGACATATATTGGACCATCTGGGTGGAATAATACAATGGTGTAGGAGGTTTGTGTCACAGGAGTCTGGAGAAGGGAGAAATCACTGGAGCTTGGCTTTGTCAGGTAGCGCTGTGCCATCTTCAATCTCTCCCCAGCCATTACACCCTTCTGTCATCTTCACAGGGTGCTTTGCCTTATCTTTAAAAAACAACAGAAAATGCAAACTTCTTTCATCCTGCTGCCCCTTCCAGCTATCATTAGAGCACCCCACTCTCTGGGCCCCAAAGCTGGGCCCATAATTACAGTGATGGACACAGTGAGTGACTGGTCTGGAGATGGTCCCATGACCCAGCCAGGCCTTCCAAAGGGGTGATACTGGAGCTGACAAGAAGAAACCTTTCCTTTCTGACCACAGATCCTTGAGCTGCTTGTGGCAATGAGGAGCAGGTCTGAGCAAAGAAGGAGCTCATGTAGTGAGGAGAAATGAGACCTACAGAGAAGGAATCCTGACAGGATTTTGAAATTTGTTTCTGAGTCATCTGTAAAACAATGCTGCCCTGCCCTCCTGGTTATGTGGCCCCATAAATCCCCTTTCTCCCATGGACCTTTACAATCGCCTCCTAAAGATCTCCTTGCTTTCATTCTTGCCCCCTTTGGCTTAATCTTCACAGAGCACTCAGAATGAGGCTTGTAAAGCCTAAGTCTGGGGTCTGGCCCCATGGCCAAGTGGTTAAAGTACCACGTGCTCTACTTCGGCGGCCCGGGTTTGCAGGTTCGCTCACTCACCATGCTGTGGCAGGGACCCACATACAAAAAAATAGAGGAAGACTGGCACAGATGTTAGCTCAGGGCTAATCTTCCTCAAGCAAAAAAAGAGGATTGGCAATGGATGTTAGCACAGGGTGAGTCTTCCTCAGCAAAAAAACAAAACAAAACAAGACAAACCTAAGTCAGAAGATGACATTCTTCTATTCAGTCCTTTCTTACTTCTCATTACTCTTAGAATAAATTTTAAAGTTTTCATAATGGCCTACAAGGACCATAATGCCTGGCTGCTGGCCACCTTTCCAACCTCCTCTCCTAGCCCTCTCCCCTCACCAATGGTGCTCCAGCCATACAGGCTTCCTTGGGATCCTCCCAACATCCCAAACACTTTGCTGTTTTAGGGACTTTGCACTTGCTGTTCTCTCTGCCTCATATGTTCTTCCTTTGTGTATCCTCATGGCTCGTTCCATCACTTTATTCAGGGGTCTGCCAGAAGGAGAGACCTTCTCTGACAATCCCATGAAAAAGGCCTCCCCTGTCATTCACTACTATTTTAACCTGCTTTGGTGTTCTTAATAGCACTCGATAATGCCTATCGTTATACAGGTTTTTGTTTGTTTATAAACTATTTCTATACTAATATTAGCTGCATAGGTAGGCAATATACTAATATATTAGCTGCACAGCTGCATGAATCCCCAGTGCCTAGAAAAATGTCTTGCACATAGTAGGCAACCAATAAATATTTGTTAAATTGATGACAAAATAGTTTAAATTATATTGAATTGGATTTCTATACCTCACAACCAATACTTTTAAATTTCAGATGGAGAAAGTAAAGCAATTTGGTTAAGGAGAAATAGTAATTCAATAAACACATGGCTTTAGCTACTTGGTTCAATATTGGAGACTTCAGTGCAATTTGTCTTTTAAAATGGAAGACAGTATAGAGTCATACAGATCTAGATTTAATATCATTTAACTGTGTGAGTTAGGAGCTGCGATTTTCTTCATAAGTAAGATGTGGATTATAATATCTACCTCACAGGGCTATTGTGAGAATTCAATTAAATTGGATAACTTATGTAAAGCACCAGGCTCATTACAGACAAACTATAAAAGTTAGTTCTTTTATTGTCCCCTTTCCTTAGTTCCTCCACCAAATATTCCTACATTGTTTAATTTTATAAAGGACCAAATATCTCTAAACAAGCAAAGTTCCTTCACTTGTGATCATAACTACTTAATAAAAGCATGAAATAGCTAAAGCATGGATTTGAAATGGAACTGACTTAAAACACAGTTTTGGCTTATTAGAGTAGGAATGTATGGTTCCCAAAAGATGATCACATCTGGATATGTGGATAGGATGAAGTGACACTGGTCCCCAAATTTTCAAGTGTTATGTTGGTGATGCTTAAAGTGGTTTAAACTCACTTCCTAACAACACAAGTTGCATGAGAAGAATAAGAGATTTCATTTAGTTGTCACCTAACATAGATCAGACACCTACTATGTACTGTGTATGAAACAGACTATACAAGCATAGTCCCTGACTATCAGGGGCTCACATCCAACGGAGGAAAAATTTACATGCACAATTTACACAAAAATATAATGCAAATCAGACTGTAGTTAATGATGTGATAGAAGTTTAAAGTACAGAGAAAGATGAGGCAAATGAAGAATGATTTTCTTAGTTGTCTTGGAAAATAATAGCTACAGGTAGATTTGTGTTGGGTCCTTGAGGGAGGTGGGAAATGGACTGATGGAGAGGGGCTTGGGGAATTCCAGTTGATGCCATCTGTGTGAACAAAGGCACAGTGGCTGGGGAACTGTTAGGCAGCTTTGTGGGGCTGGAGTGTAAAGTAAAGTTTGAGGAGCAATGGGACATAAAGTTAGAAAAGTAGAGAGAAACAAGGTCATGGAGGTCCCTGAACACCAAGGAGTCTACCTCTCTCAGGAGAGAGGCCTTGAAGTTTAAGGAGGGGAGTAAAGCATGAACTATGTGAACGGGGAATAGATCCTGTCCTTAGATCTTTCATTACCTGGGTATGTTTCTGCTAAAACAAAAAAAAGCCATCACCTTAAAGCTCCTAAATTCAACAGGAGAGAAAGGTAGGGGAAAAAATATGAAGAGCATGAACACCTTGAAGTGTCGAGCCAGAAAAAGTAAAACATAACCACATGTAAAGGCTAAGAGGCAAAGAAAACAGTAGAGTCAAACATCAATAAAAAAGGACCATTAACTAAATCATAACAATATAATGACAGGTAGATGTATTATTTGTGGAGAAGGAGTAAGCAAGAAACTTTTTATAAAATAAAGGGGAAGAAGAGAGGGAATAGTTCTAGTAACTAAGAAACTAGATATTATTGTAAACAAGACTGTCATTCAAACACTACTTCCAACTCAGTTTGGATTCTCCTTCCCTTCACGTAGACAAAATGGGGAGCAACATTACATCTACCCCACAGAATGACGACCGCTCTATGTGCTGTCATCCCACAAAGCCTGAATCACCGTTTAGCTTTTATTCTTCAGTAAAATAGCTAGTGAATTATCCTCTTTCCTCAGGAAAAGTATCTGAGCATCAAAGCCTAGTAGCAAGGACTAAATCTATTAAGCCTGCTTCCTTTTCACTGCCCCTCATACCCGATGTCCTTCCTTCCCTCCTGACTCAGCTTACATTTCAACGCTCATATTTGTAATAATTTCCTGGCACACACACTCAAGTCTTTTGCTCCTTTCTGTATTCTTCATACTTGCGTACCAAAACCAAATCTTGGTTATATTTAGCCCCATGTCAGCACATACACAACTGAATGTGGCTAGAGATATTTATACCATCATGTGAAAAGGCCTCGTTTAAAATTCATGTTATTGTTGCC